ATCGCAGTCCCCTTTTGATCATGTGCCCACGAGACACCCTGTATATGGCATGGGACTCAGTTAATCGTCACGGTGACACAGTGTTGCCAAAATGACTTGTTGCGCCAGCCTGACGCGCCGGCGCATTTTGCATCGTTGCAGTCACCCACTTGGTAAAATCTTGCTCCTAAAAATTGTGGTGAGTTATGATATCCTATTTAGCCAACTTCACAAATTCACAACAAAATCACAAAGCATAAGGAAATATTTAATTATGCTTACGAGAAACATAATGTTCTTTAGTTTCACAGATAGCATGTAAACTCATCAGCATTTAATTAGCATATATTCTCACAAGCCTGTAATAACCAACAGTTGTATCTTGAAGTTGAAATCCATATGAAACGAAATAAAAATTATTTCAAAGGGGTTCACTAGTTTTTCTATTTAGTGGAAAATTGTAGCAAAGAACAGTAGAGAGTAATAATTTTTATTGATACAATAAAAAGACAATGTCCTCAACAGTCAACGTGAGTTGCAACTGAAGATGGGACCAAACATAAACTTGTTACAAACGGGACATTTTAAGGTGGACATCCATTCATCCTCACTATCCGCACAATGGCGATGATTTTCTTAGACTTCCGAATCATTTCGGGCAGGTGTTGAATGTCCACCTGCAGGCGGTTTGTGGGCGTGTTAAAGTCGTGGCTCATGTTCGGTAGGGATTGCAGCCTAAGGCCCCTACAAGAGTTCGCAAAATCATTCGAATTGCTCGATTATGGGAAAAATCGAATTCAATCGACGAACTTTGCTATAATCACCTAAATATTATTGAGCTTAACTTATAATCGGTGGTCAGCTCCAGTTCATATTTGTAGAAGAGAGTTTCCAGCTCGGTGTCGTTAATCGACGCGTGGCAAAGAAATTTGTTTTCCCTTTGGTACTTGATCGCCACGGTGACGATGTGATGGTCTGCAAAACGGTGAATAGCCTGATGATGCCACGTGCCATCTCCAATTGTCTTACCAACTTTGCTAAAAAACACCTTGTTCTGTCCGATCTCCGGCCATTCAAACTGGAGCGGCTCTAGAACCAAGTCAGTATGCTCCTGAAGATGGCCGTTAACCATCTGGGATGTTCCAGTCCAACGGCAAATTGGAGACTGAAAGAGTTCCCTGCTGGCCAGCGGACAGGACATTGTTTGAAGTCTACAAAAATACCGAATTATTTAAGAAGAAACCGGGCAGCTTTCTGCCCATTAGTGGAGCTGAGCACTTATTACTTATAGCAATATTAATATTACGCTTACTTGAATGACGCCATGTGGCTTCTTCAATGTGAAACTGAGTAGAATTTGGTGGGTCGCGGCCACGACAAAACACACATTCCTCAAATAACAATTTTTCCTTCAAATTTACCATTCAAGCTTGACTCGGACGATGAAAGCAGCCGTGCCATCGTTATCTATTTGTTCCACTATCCCTAGACATTTTGCAAACACTGCAACCCTGCAAAATTTTGTTGGGGTTTGGCTAATTTTAGTGAACTGTGTTTCGATTATTTTCGATCAAAGATTCTGATCTGATCGATA